GCGGGGGTGGGGCCCGGAGGGTGACTCAGGCGCGTCGTTCCGGATGTGGCCGCGACAGCCCCGCCGGCCCCCAGGTGTGCCCGACCTCACGTCTGCAACTCGGCGCGAACCGGCGTCTCCTATCCCGCAGCTCAGGAAACGGAGGCCCGGCCGTCCAGGGCTTGGGGACCAGTTCCCTTCCAGTCGCCCCCGCAGGGAATTCCCGAGGGGGCGGGTGCTGAGCCGCCGCATTCCAGGGATACCTCGGGGCCAGGGTGGCCCGAGCCTGCCTCTCCGTCCCGGCCTAAGGGAAGGCTGGACACAGCCCACGCGAGTGGCCTCTCCCCGGCCGGACGGGTCTGGCCACGTAGCCTGAGCCCTCGAGCCACGCCCATGGCCTCAGCTTCGGGCTGAGGCCGAAGCTCCCACTTCATTCCCCGGGAGTCGCCCCTTGCATAACTAGAGCTCGAAACTCCCAACCGCTCCCGCACCCCAGGAGCTGCAGCGCCCAACACCTTGCCCGCCCGAAGGAATCACCCAATAAATGAATTTGAAGGGAAGAGCAAAGCACAAAGGCTTTAATGGTGAAGGGGCCGGCGGTGGGGAGGGTAGGCGCAGGCGGTGGGGGCCCGCGAAGCCCTGGGATCAAAGTGTGTGGAGGTCATGACTACGCCGGCTCAGCTTCTCCGGGTCATCGGATGCCATGAGGGAGAAGTCGCGGAAGATGTCCAGATACGTTTCGTCTCCTGAGGGGAGGGAGGAAGGGCTGGTAGGCCGGGTGGCTGGGCCCTAGTACGGAGAAGCACAATAGGGACAGCCCGGCCTGGTAAGAGCACGCGCTTCCAGCGTGGGTGGAGGGGACATCTGCGCGTTAGGGCAGCGCCCTCGCCTATGCTTTGCTGTTTCAAGGACCTGGCGCGTTGGATGATGAACCAGGACAAATATTGACATATTTGTTGAATAAAAATGTAATTAATCAATGAAGTTAGGCACAGGGGGTTGGGGACAGGTCACCAGGGGCCAAAAGCACAGAGTAACAATGGGGGGGGGGTTGGTGTGTGTGTGTGTGTATTTAAGGGTATTTTACCAGTAACAATGGGTGTGTGTGTGTGTGTGTTTAAGGGTACTTTACCAGCCTGGCCCTGGGCGGCTTCAGCTTCTCTCATTTTTGCCAACCGTAGCCTGAAGGGGAGGGAATTAAGGCATGAATAACCCTTTCCCCACTACTTGCCCCCCCCCACTTCCCATCCTTTGAGCTGCTTTGTTTCATTCATCTGTTTTCGCAGGGTCTAGTGCTTAAAAGATGCCTGACAACAATGTTGATGAATCACGCCTCTCTCAGAATAAACTCACCTCTCACCTTCCTCGGGCCCCGCCCTCCCTGCTTCCTACTCCACACCTCAAACACTTGAGCATCCTTTCGCTGACGGGTCCAGGAGCTGGCCCCGCCCTGCCCCAGGCTCCGCCTGACACACTGGGGTCTCTGCGTTAGCCCCTCCCCAGATGGATAGGGCAAGCGCTAGCCCCGCCTCTTCAGGCATCCTCACAGAGTGACGATGTCAGCGTTGGCGGTTTCCATGGCGATGGTCAAGGGGTCTCTGCCTTCGGAGTCCCGAGCTCCCAAATCGGCCCCCCGTTTCAGGAATAGGCAGGCCAGCCTGGAGAGGATAGCCACGTTCACTCAGCCCCTCATCCTAGCTGGAGCCTTCCTCCCCAAGGCCATCATCCCTGCCGCCCCTACCCGGTGTGGCCAAGAATGGTTGCGTGGTGGAGTGGGCCCCGACCGTGGTTGTCTGCTTGGTTCACATTTGCCCCGTTCTGGAGGAGAAACTCACAGGCTAGCAGAGAATTCTGCATAGACAAGTAGAAAATGGGGAGAGAGGGTGGCATCTTTAGAGGCAAATTTAAAGATATGTTAGAGTGGTGTCAGTTCAGAGGGTGGGGTATGGGAATCTCAGGCTCTGCTCTACCTCTTTATGTGTATTCATAGACTGAATCCATAGTACAACCTAATGAGGTGTGTTACCCTATTCTACAGATGAGGAAACTGAGGCATAGAGAGCTTCATAACTGTAAGTGCTGAGGCCCTGGATTCAAACCCAGGTTCATCTGCCTCCAAATCTCACACTCTTTGCTACCAATCTCTGTTGGTTATCGTTCCCTATGGGGTGTGGGGAGGGATGAGAGCTGGGACCAAAGTCAGGAGTGAGGAGGAGAGGAGCCCTAGGGTGGGGTGAAGAGGTCGGCAAGATTCTCACAGCAGCTGTGGCCTGGATCAGCGGTGTGGCATTCTCCTGAGCCCCGTTGACCCAGTTGACATCGGCTCCATGGGCGAGAGCATCAGCCATAGTGGGAAGGGATGGAGGATGTCCAGCAGCTCGAAAGAGCAAGGCCCCAGGGTGCAGGCTGCCCAGGTCATCAGAGGTTGGCTCTGTTAGGGGGAACCAGCTGTGAATCTGGGAAGAAGACCCTCAGCACAGCCACCTGATACTGTAATGGGATAGATCACTTCTCAATTGTGGGGAGGCCTTCAGGACCAGCGATTGTGGTGGGAGGTGGAGGTGTGTGTGAGTGGATGTGGCTGGGTTCCCTAGGGCATACAGGATAGACAGCATCATTGACCTCTTCTGGTCCAACCACTCTAACTGGCTGGGATGTCACGGGTGATCTGACTTGGTGATGGTCAGTTTCACTTCTCTTGGCTCCTCTCCAGCCAAACTCACATCCTCCTCCTCTGGAGAACCTAGCTCATTCTCCCTGACTCTTCTCCCTTACACAGCCCTCCCTGCCTATTCCCAGCCCCATGATCCTTCCAGTTCTTCACTGCAGTCCCTGAAACTCTCGCCTTGTAAAACCAGTGCCAGTGTCGTCCAGCCCCTGCAGCTTTCTCCAGGGGAAGACCTGGGCCTCAGACTCAGAGCCTCCCCACTGAGCTTGGCATGGTACTGAGCACACGGCAGGTGCTTAATGAATGCCCAGCCAACACTATACCTGGCTTGGATCTGAAGCTTCCTGGCCGGGGCCTGATGTTCCCCGGCTTTGGGGGCACAGGAGGCTGCCCCTTTGGGGGCCCCCGGCCACCTCTTCGCCCTCGAATCTCAGGAAGCTTGGTCAGGAACTTCTTTTCCACATATTTGGCGTGAATCCAGGCCTCCTTCTCTTGCCTGGAGGAGGAGGGTTGGGATGAGGAAGAGGACAGTCTTTCCTCCTCCCATCCCAGACCCTCCTCCCTCCTCTCCCCACAGGGAGGGCAGCCCCAGCCCTTCCTCCCCAGCCTCACCGGGAGCAGCTGGGCCCTGGCTTCTTTACCGCCATGGCCTCCACACGGGCCTCATAGATCTGGTTCATGACCACGTTTCCCAGCTGGCACATGAGCTTCCGTCAGCCCCGGCAGAAGCAGAGACAGCCAGATAGGGTGCGGTTGAGTGTTTGAGCCCTCGGACTCTGCAGCCCCAGCTTCACCCCAACCCCCTCCCCACACTCTCACAGCACCCCAAGTCACCTTCACAAGTTCCGGCTCCCACGAGTCAAGGGTCAGAGACCGGACTTTGGAGAAATGAACTCCAAGGCTCCTGGAGGGCCAGGAGAGAAGTCAGGCCCTCTGTAGGGCAGCAGCCGGGGGAGCTGCTGCTGGTCCTGAAAAGACTTCAGGGCAAAGTGCTGTGTAGGGGTCCTGGCCATGCCCAGGGGAGGTGTCAGGCCAGGAGGCAGCCGGAGCCATGCAGCCTTGAGCCGGATCTGCCACGATCCTGCCTGTTCACCACTCCTTCTCTTCGTCCTTGCCAGCCAATCTCCTTCTCTCCTGGCACTTTGGCCTGGACAACTCTTTCCATGCCATCCCCCTCCCTCCTTCCATCAGGCTGACGTTGGGCGGGGCCCGCGTAGACCTGCTAGGCCTCACAACATCTTCTCTCTCTGCCCTCCTTGGGCCTCCCACCCTCAGCTGCCCTGACCCCACACCCCAACTCTAGTCAAGCCAATAAACTCCTCAGAGTGACCTCCTGCCCTGGCCAGACCAGGACACTGAGGGGCTGGGCCCACCTGGGTTCACCTTGTACCATGTAGGCTGGGCCCCGGCCTGTGTGCAGTGACAGGCAGAATCTGAGAGGAAGCCAGGCCTGGTGGGAAGGGAGGAGCCCGTGTGATGGGCTCTATCTTGCCTCCCCACCCCCATCCCCACTGCTGCTAGAGGGAGCAGGGGCCCATGCTGGGACCTTGGGAAGTGACCTGTGGATGCCGGAGCACTGAATGCAGAGGGTGACTCCAAGGTTGATGCTGGCCCACTCAGGGGCTGGCTCCCGGCAGTCACAGCACTGGGCGTTGCCGTCCACGCTCTGCACCTGGGCTGCCACATGCCCTACTCCGCCAGGCTCCCTTCCCCTGGTGGACCCGCCACTGCCTAGGGTGGCAGCGGAGCCCATGGCCAGGTGTCCTGAGCCCTGGGGGAGACAGGGGAAGAAAGAGTGGCTCTGAGGTCCAGGGGAAGGGAGGTCAGATCTCCCTGGGTAGCCTGGCCCTGCACCCCCATGTTTAGGTACCTGGCCTGGACCCCGGGGGCTACCATCAAGGCGAGCCTGGCTGAAGGCTGTAGCGATGCTGCTCTGCACGGCACTGACCCACAGCTGTACGAGGCGCTCTGTGTCAGCCTGCAGGAGGCAGGACCTGGGCAGGAGGAAGGCCGGAGAACAGGGAGGGGTCTGAGGCCTGGGGAGCCATGGGGCAGGATGGGCAGGCTGATATGCAGCTAGTATTCAGCACGTACCAGTCACACTGAAATAGTTCTGTACCGATTGGCAACAGCCTTCTACATATCCCTCATCCCCCTACACCATTCCTCCAGGCTTCCCCCTGGTAGAGCCACCAAAGATTAAAGCCTAAGGCTGCATAGGGGGCCTCTAGCACCCTGCCCCAGGGATGCCTTTGTGATTGGCCCTACCTTTCCAATAAGACTGAGACGTATCAACCATCACCCCTGGGCATTGCACTCACTTGCTGGGGGACACCACCTCAAAGCAGAACCGCCTTTCTGAGTCGGGACAGAGCTTCACTGTGCAGAGACGCAGGTCATCCACCACCACAGTCACAGGGTCCTGGCAGGGAAAGGAGACCAGGGGGCAGACGTCCAGCCAGCCACAGCAGGGCTGATACCCTCCAAGCCCAGGCATCAGGACCTGGGCCTACCCACCTTGTACTTCTTCTGATAAACCAGTTGGTTGCTCTGAATAGTGAACCAGCGTCTGAAACAGGTGGAAATAGTTAGGGATAATGGGCAGCTTCAGGATATGGCTGGGGACACGGGCAGCAGAAGTGGTGTCCTTAGCCCCAGCAGGACATGCTGAGAGGAGAGAGACCTGAGCTGACCATCCCGTAAGATGTTCCAGAGGAGGGTGGACAGTGCAGACCTGGACCTCTAAGGAGTGCTATTCACATCTCGAATAACTCAGATTTGATATATTTACAAAAACAACTTTCCAGCAGATAACAGTAAAATGCTTTTTCTAATAAAATAAGTCTATTGCTACAATTTCTTGGCAAATAAAAGTATCTCAGAGAAGGGGCTATTTTCTAATTTATGCAAGATACCATACGGGCTGGCAGTGGCCCTGGAAGGGGAAGGGGTTGAGTCAGAGCAAATGACCACCCTGCTCCGCATCCTGCAATGACTCCCCATTTCCCTCAGAGCAAAACCCAGGCCCTTCTGAAAGCCAGCAAGGCCCATTATGATTCACACCATTAGCTCCAAGTTCACCTACAACCACTTCCTCCTCCCTCCCTCTGTCCACACCCATGGACGCTCTAGGTTCCTCAGGGCCTTGGCACTCGCTTCTCCTTCTGCCTAGAACATTCTTCCCCAGATATCCTTTCAGTCTTCACTCAGAAGTCACCTCTTCACGAGGCCTACACTGACTACCCTATTTAAAGTTGCACCTCCTCCCCAGCTCTCCACATTGCTGGCTTTATTATTTCCCCTCCATGGCACTTTTACCTTCTAATATAACATTATAACTTACCTAATTATCATATTATTGTCTGTCTTTGCTGATGGAATGTGAACCCTCTGAAGGAAGGGGGTGTGTCTGTTTTTCCTGGGTGTATTTAACACACTATAACCGTTCAAAAAAATATAATCTGATGGGTTTGGTTGATTGGGATGTCTGCTCCTCACCTGCTCCAGGTCTTAAATGCGTTGCTGGCTCGTTTGAAGAGATGTCCTTCCATGACCAGGCCACCAGACCCCTCCCTTAGGCTTGGCTCTGGCTCCTCCCCACCCAGCTCCTGGAGGCACAAGAGGGTCAAAAGGCAACTGAAGTGGGCAGACACCAAGGCCCCAGGCCCGTCTGCCTCCTGCCTACAGCCTCAGCCCTCACCTTCTGTTTCAGCAACACGTGTCTCTGCTCCATGTCCCTCTTCTCTCGAGCTGAATTCAAGACCAGCCGGTGTAACTGAGCACAGGAGGGGCATCTCAGATGGCCCAGGGCTCCCCCAACTAGATCAGGAGTGTCCTCTCCAAGCCCCTACCCTCCCTCCTCCACCTCCCTGCTGCCTGGAGCACTACCTGGCCACCCAGCTCCTTGCGGTACTGGGCCAGCTGGCTTAGCTCCTCATGGCCCTGCTGGAAATGGGTAGCCTGGGCCTCCACCAAACGCAGCACCTGGGGGACAAGGTGGGCAGGGGGCAGACACCTCTCTCTTTCCCTCTTCCCTCCAACTCTCTATCAGCAGACTCCTCCCCACCCTGCCCTGGCCACTGCAACTCACAAACTCCATGATGTCAAACTTCCTCTTGTCCTCAATCACGTTGATCTGGGAGCCCAAAAGACCTCGGGTCAGTCTTGAAAACACAGACACCCTCCTCCCACTGCACGCCAGGGACTCTTCAGTCTAGAGGTGACTGAGGCCCTGGCACCCCAGGAGGACAGGCTAGGGCAGGCACCTGCAGGGCATAATCCAGTGCCCGTCCTCGGTACCCAGCTCTAGCAATCTTCAAAGCAGCTCCTGCCTCTTCGGCCTCCTGGGCCCGGCGCCTGGGGACTTCTGCATTGTGGATAAGAGCAGCCTCGAGGCTCTCAGCTCCCTTCCAGAAATCCCTGCGAGCCTCTCGGAAGCCTCGGAGACCTCTGGGGTAGGGGGATATCACCGAATCACTGATACACCCGTCTGCCCCCGGCAGAGAAACCCCTGGGGCTCCCTCAGCCTTTCAGCTAGCCTCTGTACAGGCAGAAGTCCAAGGGGATCCTTGGGATGGGGATAACAGTCAGGCTACCAGAATCCCCCAGTCTCACAACTCCTTCATTCAGGGAAGGGGACTGGAGGACTGGTCTCCCTCTCAACTCACTCCTTGACCAGGGTTTGGATTTGCTGCTGCAGTGTGTGCTGGGTGGCATCTAGAAGCTCCTGAGGGGAAACAGAAATTGGCATGTGGGGCTCAGGACCACAGGCGACCTGTTCCCCCTACCACCGGTTACCCCCACTTACTGCATGGCTGTCCAGCTTGTGGCTCAGGCTCTGAGTGAATTTGTCCAGACACTCCTAGGCAAGAAGAGACAGAGAGAGAGAGCACCAGGCGTGGGGTGGGAGGGCCCACACCACCCCCACCCATCCTAGACTCAGCCTGCTGGGCCTGTCTCAGATGGCGCGCTCCCCAGTCTGCCTGGGACCTGCGGACCCCAGACCAACCCTCCCTTCCCACAGGAACTCTCCACATCCCAGACCCCGCCCACCCTGGTTAGGACCCTCCACATACCGCCATCATGGGCTCTGGGGGCCCCAGGTGGGCCAGGTCACAAATGCCAACAATGAAGGCGCGGCTGGCGGCAAGGTAGTGGCGCCCACTCTCCAGGAGGCCATTCCCCAGCTTGAGGAGCTAGGAAGCCACAGGGCAACAGGGAGTCATGCCAGTTGCCACCACTACCCAGTGACACCCCTGCTCCTGTTCTACTTCCTCTTGCCTTTCCCAGGGCTGTGCCCCTCCTTCCCCCACCTCACCTCCGCCTTTCTGCAGCCCAGTCCAGTTTCTAACACACACGTGGTGCTTTCCCAGCTCTGTTTCTTTGCTCCCACTGTTCTGTGCCTGGAACAGAATTCCTCCCAGCCTGTCACCCACGCCAGCATCAGCTTTACCTCCATAACGTCTTTCTCTGCCACTTGCACATGTCTGTCCCTGCCCTGCTCCAGCTGCTTGGAGCCACAGTTTCCCAGAAACTCCATCCTCACACACTGTCTGGCTCACAGGGTGATTACTCTACCTGGTTGGTGTTCAATTCTACACTATTTACTGTCTGGAGTTGTCCATCCTATGCTTACTGACCATCCCCTCATAACTATTAATTGCTCAGCAGGCCACAGGGTCAGGGCAAAGATGGCATGTTAGGATGCTTCCAGGGCACATTCTGTCTGGTCCCAGTTACCAACAGGGAGGCTTGATAAACAAGGGCACAAGTGACTGTCCGGAGGAGGATCTCTGGAAGAGCCAGGTGGCTGAGCCAGAAGCCAAAGCGAGCTCTTCTGACCCCTGGCCCTTGTTACCTGCAGGAACTGCACTGCTCCAGAGGTAACACCGTTGGCTCTAGCCTGAGTCAGAATATCTGGGATGGAGTATCTGGGGAGCCCGTGAGCTTGGCCCAGGGAACAGGAAACCACCAGGGAGGTTCTATAAGGAAATCCTGGGCAGCAGAGACTCAGAGAATGTGGGCTCCATAGTGGCTCACTGAACTTTTGTTGAACTGAAAAACACTTTTTAGGGCTAGTGAATGCTTCAGGGAAATACAGTTTGACTTGAAGATGACTGGCAGGGTCAGTAATGGTCAGGAAACTGACCACGATCAAACCTTATCAGGTATCACCATCAGGTGTCCACAGCAAGGTGCTCACAACCCCATTGTGTGGAGCTAGGGGACTGAGGGTTCAGTTTTTTCCTTACCTACCTCACCTTCCCAGATAGATCTGAATAAGGAACTTTCATAAGACGGAACCAGTGACAAACTGATACCTCCATATAATGGAATGGAACTGGTACTCAGTAATGCAAAAGGAACAAGCTATTCATACATGTAACTATTCATAACGAACTGCTAATAACTACTGATCTGCAACAACTTGAATAAAACTCAAGGATGTTATTCTGAGTGGGAAAAAAAAGCCAGTCTTGAAAGGTCACATATTGGTTGATTTCACTTATATTAGAATTTAAAAATGACAAAAGTCTAGAGATCCAAAAAACAGAAGAGTGGTTGTCATGGATAAGGAAGGGAAGGAAGGTATCATGACAAAGGACAATACAAAGGAGTTTCTCTGTGGTGATAGGAGTTTTATATCTTGAATGTGATGCTGGGTATAAGAATCTACACTTGTGACAAAGTGCCACTGAATTATACACAAAGATTTTTTTTAAGAGCATATGGAAAACTGGTAAAATCCAAGTAAAGTCTTTCAACAGTTCATTGTATCATAAAAATATCATCTCCCGGTCTGGGAGCATACTAGAGTTAAATGAGATGCTGTCACTGGGGGAGGCTGGGAGATGAGGACATGGGACCTCTCTGGACTATTTTTGCAACTTCTTGTGAATCTACAATTAACTAAAAATAAAAAGATTAATGAAAAAATATGTATTAATTGGGCACCTACCAACATTCAAGCTATCTATCGTATAGGCACTAGGATTGAGCAAAAACAAAACATAAAAGTCCCTCGTGACAGCTACATTCCAGTGGAGAAAAGTAGACAAAAAAAAAAAATCGGCAAGCATGACAGACATGGGTTAAGGAGACCCCTAATGAGTCTCAGCCTTGATAACCCTCCCCTTGTGTGTGGATGAGTGAGGCCTGTGAGCGCATTCTGACAGAAACTGATGGCACCGGGCCAGCACGCACACGGGGCACTTTCCTGCTGGCCTCGGAGAGGCAATCTGCTACC